ACTACCGGAAACCCTATATTATATTCTGCGTATCCGCTACACACATCGATAGTATCACGTTCTTCCAGACATGTAGTGTATTCAGTCAAAGAACGTGAAAGCAACAAAGTATAGTAATAAGGGATTCTAGATGACATTCAAACTTTGTTATTTAGTTGTCATGAGTTAAAAATTTAAAATGCGTCAGTACGCATCTCTAGCATTTAAAGTACGATGAATTTTTTTTCTAAAGAGAGTTGTTATTAAATAGCATATTTTAGATATCTCAATTAGCTTTTAAATGCCCTCCTCCAAATAGGGCTGTTCTACCTTATCGGATGGACAGTTAGAAATAGGATTTATATATTTATGGCCTCAGTCGTCTTTGAATATGTTTCATCTTATGATCGCTATTATATATAAATGACTACGCCAATTGCAATGATTCGTTCCAATTATTTACCCTTTAGAGTTGGTTATTTTGGTATAAGGATGATTTTTCCGAAAGGAAATTCTTTTGAGAGGATGGCACGTGCCACACAATATCATTATAGCTTTTGAATATTGGATGTCCTATAGTCATAGGTTTCTCTATTTACTCACAATACGCAGAATTACTGTGTTCCAGCATATACTTTGTTAAAATTTCACACTCCAGGTGGGTTTTTTATCCCCAAATTCAACTATGATTAACTCTACGAAGAGATGGTGGATCTTAGCTTTAATCTGCGTCATCGAATTTCAAGATATTTATAGTGAAGGAATATTTGGATTCGTCAATGACGTTGCATCCGCGTATTTTCAGACACAGCCCCCTGTAACCGATATTCTATCCACCTGCTTCTACCTAACACGTGGATTATCAGGATTAGTCATGAGCTTGTTTGCAGAATATGTCAACTTCAGAATGTTATCTAGAATGACAACCATTTTTTTGACTACCGGAAGTGTACTTGTAACATGTGGCGTTTATTCTCGTCTAAACTACCCAATTGTGGTCATTGGCCAGTTTTCTACAGGCTTGGCAGCCACAATAGCAGTACCTTTGGCATTCACTATGTCCAGTAACTGGTTTCCAGAAAATGAACGTACCACGGTATTGACTATAGCGCTATCTACGAAAAGCGTTTCGAGGGCAATTTCAAATATTGTTGTTACAAAAACAATACGTTCAAATCAAACATTAAACGTAACAGAATTCACTAATCAAGACTTGATCATGTCTTTCAAAAATACATTCTCCGTGAACTATGTTTCCTTAAGCATTATATCTTTTGTTTGTTTTATACTCGTACGACTGTTTGTTACAGATTTCCCACAAACAACCGTCATTAAAATGATCGATCAAAAAAAATACGATGTATATCGTGGCTTTTCTAAACTACGGAGTTTATTTAACAAGGACGATTTTTGCATTATATTTTGGGAATATATTTTATTTTTTTCATTGGTGCCAATGATTGATGTGCTTTTCTCTAGTATCGTACTGAGCGTTTTCCCTCAGCAAAATGATGACACCGTCGGCACAATGTTATGTGTTTCTTATGCAGCAGGATGGATAACTTCTTTCGTCAGCAGCAAGTTACTAGATAGATTGGGATATACCCCGAAAATCATCGCTCTTTTATCAATCTGTTCCGTCATAGTTGGATGTATTTCGTTCTCACTCGGTTTAAAGTTTAAGAGTTATGTCTTAGTATTTATGAGTAACGTTGTTATTTGTGGTGCAAGAGATGTGGTTTACGTATGCATCAACTTTTCTACTATAACAACGTGTAAGAATCCACGCGACAGAATAACTGTGCTTTTCATTTTAATGTCTCCTCCTTGGTTATTCATGCCTGTTTGCACTTCTTTTGTGAGATTTTTACTCCAATTTGTCGGGCCTGTGTATTCAGTTCTCTTCCCAATACCATTTTTTGCTATACTATGTATATTGCATCTCCGCTTGCTTGGTAAATAAATAGTTCGAAAGTTAAAGAATAGTCTATACGTAAAATATTTACTTGATTTAAAATTTTCAAACAATTGTGGTTTTGAAATTTACACGTTTAAAATCGATGCATCAAATAAATTTGATACTGTAAAAATATTGAATGAAACTTTCGTTCGAATTTGTTGATTCATATAAGATTATAGATATGTATAATTATAACATAGCATTATACGGTAATATTAGAAAAAAACATTACAAACTTTGTAGTATTCTTGAGAGGAGCTATTAATAACCGATTTATTTTTTATTGTCTGTTGACAACTTATGGATAACAAATTCATTTTTCTCATCGTCTAAAAGACTCGGCCCTTTCGACTACTTAATTGACACATCAGTTATTTCGTCAACATAATTATATAAGACCGCTAAATAAGTCAATGTTCATCGCGATTGGAGACGATTGATAAAGCAGACTGAGAGAAGAGTATTTTTGTCCCAACGACAGACAGAATGATTATTCCCAGCAACAACAACATTTATCGCAGTTTTAAGGTATATATATTATTTGGCAGGGAAACACAAATTTTTTTTCGACAACAATACGACGGTGACAAAAACAAGAGAATGAAGGACTAATTAGTTGGACGTGGAGTATCGTTACCGTCGCCTTCAGGGTGGCGTCGGTGAATCTAGTTAGAAATCACTCAAAAAAAATAAACACGGTGGCGCACTTATTTAAAAGCCAGCATAAGTTCAGGTAGAAAATCGAGCTCAGAGAAAAATGCAAAACTGCAACCACAAAGGCGATCCATAAGTCGACTCTGTGTCCGTTGCATAAATTTTGGGTACATTGACACTTTCCAATGGTCAACTTCAACTGGAATGAATTATTGGTTATAAAACGATAACTGATGAAAAATTAAATATCGATATATCGAGGTACAGTATTTATTCAGCAGAGTATAGGCAGTTAAATAGAGTGTAAAAAATTATGAATAATATAACTAAGAAATCCATTGAATATACATAAAGAAGTAACTTTTGCCGGCAGTCCGTGTAGTTTCAAGTTTTAGTTTAGTCCGGGTTCCTTCAGTTGTATATCGTCATCGTGATGATTATCGCTATCTCGTCGTCGTCATCATTACTTATCGATTTTAATCGGTAAGTATGTTGATAGGTATTTGTCTGTCTGTCTGTATGTCTGTTTGTCTGTTAGACGCACGCGATATCTCACGAAAGCGAGATTGATCTGCTCCAGATTTTGCCTGTGCATTCATCTTATCTCGGACCAGCAGCCAATTGATTTTGGGCAAATTATGTCGTATGATTAGCGAGTTATTAATTAATTAGTGATGGGACACAATTAATTAGTGATGGTCACTATGGAGTAAGAGCGCTGTTTTGGGATCCCCTAACTTTCGATCGATAAGTTTTCGGTCTCTGACAGATATTCTCGTTACTGTGTTGTTTTTCTTGCATCCGACGTGTTCACGTGTCATCATTTTACGTATTTATTGTATTATCGTCCCTCTAACTAAGCTCAGCAAGATGTTTAAGGTTACATTTCTGATGTTAGCAGTTTAGGATTTTATTTTCTTGTTATGGCAGTTTAAGATTACATCGCTTTTACAACATTGTGGTTTGAATTCATTTAGTAGTCTCCGTTTATAGCGTCCTTTTATACTGTATTTCGAATCGTTCGATATAACATCATATTCGCATGTCTGCAGCTCGTATGGTATTGCATTTATAGTTGTTTTACCTTGGTTGTATATCTGTCGTTTTGGGACTATGCTGTTATATGGAGTTATTTTGTGTAAGTATTAGTTTTATATTCTGTATCATTTGTATTTGATTTATCTGGTTCTCATTATTTCCTTTTCTATTTTAGTCGAGCGTTTTGAATATTTTCAATAAACGAGTCTGGCAAAGCGACTTGTCACTTTTTCAACTTTCATGATCACATCACAACGTCATCACCGCCTTTTTGCTATGTATGCTCTCAATGAATCATTCTCAATCATCCTGATTCAATTATTTCATCCTATAATGAAAGTAATTGTGTTATGGTATTTTGTCTCATTTACAATAAGGCCAAGTGCCTCGTGGAAGTTTGTGTAGAGACACTTGATTAGAGACACAAAACCAAACGTCTGCAGAACCTATGATTATTATTTAGTATAAAATTACCGAGGCCAAAGAAAAGAGTTTCAAAGCAATGTACGGTACAATTAATTCAAGTATTTCAGTAAAACTATCAGTATTGAGTCCAGAGACACACCATTAATCGATCTGAATGACAAATATGGTTTTATCGTGGTCTGAGATTTATCGTTTTTCGTTGGTATCGATGAAAAATTGGTATCGGTACATCCCGTGGCGTGCCTAGAAAGGGAAGAAAGGGGGTGCCGCCCCGGGCAGCACGTTGTTGTGGGCAGCACCAAGCCGTAGACTGTATAGTTTGCGCAAATAAACAGTTTTTCTTGATGTGTTTTTATTTAATTAAAAGCTGACATTTTGTGTTTAGTTTTGTGTGATTGACTGTGGTGATGATGAGTCAACAATGGATGTTTCCCGGACCGTTGACCCCAGAACAATTCCTACTATATTTTACAATTGCAACAGTTTTGGTGTTCATTGGGATGGTTTCGCGAGTTAGCGCCTTAAACTGGTTAATATGTCTCAAACAATCATTTTGATTCAAAATATTTCACCGATAAAAAAGTTTAGCCTAGTCTATCACAGTTTCTTCTGGACTGATTTTTGATTACTGCAAATTATACAAGACAGAATAATGATTGAGTTATTTTATTCGCACTGAAATTTCCGGAACATAACCAATACTAACAAATAACATGCAAAAACGAGGTAATGTTTTCAACCATGCCTAAAAATCTATCTGTGCGGATGCCAAAACGTCTAATGTTACGTCGCTTTACCGAAGTAGAAACAGATTTTCTACTTTTTGCACTGCATGTCTATTACTCACAATTGGCTACACAATTGCTAGTTGCAAACGATCTTACTCAAAAGTTAAACAGATAAAAATATATTTGAGGTTTTCGATGTCAAATTAGCGTTTGTTAACGAATAGAAATTCCTCACTATAGCTGTCGCCCAGACAGTCGTTGACAGCTAAGTTAGCGTTTGAGCATAGAAATAAGTGATTTGCTGAGTGATCTTATTCATGTGAGTTTGTTGCTTAATTTAATGATTTATTTAATGAAACAGACGTTTCTATCTTACTTGACCTTTAATGTATAACGACATCCATAATCTGTTTAACACATGGGTTATTTTTAAATTTGGGTATAATGGGCATCATTATCAGAAACTCGCCCCAGCAGGCAGCAGAAAAGTTTGGCACGCCCCTGGGAACATCCCCAGTTCTACCCTTAACCTATTTTGTTTTCTTGAATAATCTATCGCATTTCAACTTGTCTGCATTTTGGCTGCGGCATTTTGAAACTCTAACTACTTCGTCTTTGCGATTCCGTCGCAGTTTCATATATACGTTTTATTACATTTGTGAGTAAAATAATTAATAGTAAAAGCATATTTTTGCCTTTGATAAATACGTTGCAGAAAAATAATGTTTGAAGCAATCTAAATTTATAGTACAAGTAGCTTAGAGTTCTTTCAGAACAAATTTGCATAATACTAAGACAGCAAAATTTGATAGCGAAATTGCGAACGTTATTATGAGCTATTTATGTCATTTGGCTTGCGCCATCCATTGGTTGGCTCAATTGAATACACATATAGTGTGTTATGTTGTTTCCAACTCTCTAACGTTGGTTTTTTAATGCAAACAACGCTGCATCATGTACAGTAGGAAAGACAGAATTCATTCCCGCAACATCTACGAAGCCACTTCTTTGAAGTTGTTCACGAATATCAACTAAACATAAATATTATTCAATTAAAATAATAATGTGAAAACAAGAGCACGTAGAAACAATTGAATAGCTCTAATGAAAATGAATAAACAACTTTTTTATTGTAGCCTATATATAGTGATTTCAGTCATACTCACATTCTAAAAAACATTTTGAAACTTTTTTCTTTTCTGCAGTTATCTTAGAATTTATTGAACATAATTGCTACGAAGATATAATCAGCCTCAGATAATTTTGCTGGTTAATGCAACTATAACAAATAAACTAGGCCGGATACAAAGTTGATAAACATACCGCTACATGCTGCCAAATAAAATGATATTCCGATGTCGTTGAACTGGGAACATAACTAAAAAAGAAAAGCATTACTTAATATTTACAACCAGTAATTATTATTTGGCAAAATATTGACACCGATTATAGGTTCTATTTTGTTACCAAATAGACGTAACTTATATAAATATTTCTTTGTCACTGATATAAATATATCATTGTGATAGTTATTCATTATTTACTTTTCAGGTTTTTGAAGTGGGCTCACGATTGATCCAGAAAGAATTGTATAAGTGTTGAATGTGCGATATGTAGCAATATATTACCTGCTTGAGAAGTTTGCCTCCAACAAAATCGGTAAATCCAAAGCACCCACAATCAACAATAACTGAATGAATATTTGATTTCCAAGCATCTGAAAAGAATTTAATTTATCTTAGGAATACTTATAACTGAAAATGTATAATAAACAATAAAATAATATATAAACGTTATTTCAATATTTGAATTCATCCTCTATCAGGCTTTGCCATTTAAATTGAATCTTCAATCAATTCACTAAAACGCACCTTCTGTTTCAACTTCAGATATTTCAACACTAGTGGATGGTATTCCTTGTGCGTCTCCACTAGTTACTTGATCTTGCCGTCTGTCCTTATTCTTCCTGAAATTTTATTTTGTGAACAGGCTCTTACAATTTGAGTTATAGATGTAGTGGATAGTCGGATATTAGTTAAACTAAAAATGTTTTCTCGAATCACGGCCACGCGTAGCTAATCATATATGTAAGAGATTCATTATTGATCGAAGTTACTGACATCCACTAAAATGCAAATGGCTGATGAAGATATATAATTATATATGGTGGCGCAGTGAGCACTATTTTTATAATATTTAAAATCAGATGCAATGCCATTTTCGGAGGCTGATAGAAACTACTAATCTAGTAGATCTTGAATAATTGCTTTAAATAGAAGTTTGATTATTAGATTCAAAAAACTTATAGGTACATTTTGGTATATATATATAGTTACTATTGAATGTCAAAATTAAAATAGTCTTAAAAAATTAACCCAATTCCGAAAAATCCCTTCGAGTTCTCGTTTAATTTTGCCAGCTCTATTTTTCTTCGTTCTTTTGCTTCTTTCCGTTGACAAAGAACGTCGCCTGAATAAAAAAAGATCTCCAATGATAAGAATTTCTTCTGATAATTTTTCTGGCTTTTACATCATCTATTCTAGGTTTGCCTTATAACACCCAATATTTTTTAAAAGTGGATTGTTTCATCAAAAAAGTATGTTTCATTTAGGCTGTAAGAATGTAATAAAACTAGCAATTCGAAAAAGGTGGCGAATTTAAAATAAAATTATACCTGGATCAAATCCTAATGCTTCAATCAATTTACTTCTGAACATATCTTTATTAGCATAGTATAGTGATGAATAAAGTTTTACAACCAAAATTCCTTCGTTATTATTCCGCTGAAAACAAATATTATTAATTAACAATGATGATATACTCCTCAATACTCAATAACAGTTAAAATCTATTACATTTTGTCATTTTCATCATGCTTACCTGCTGAATTGTTTTTTCGGCTCTATAAATATCAGTGCCTGGTACGTTGATAAGTATTTCAAACCGAGGTATCTGAGTTCGAACTATAACAGTTATGATAGCAAAAACAACGCCAAACAAGAGCCCAACATCAACTCCAAGAAGAACAACTGCAAGCCACGTGACTAACCAAACACTCTTGAAAAAATGCAAAAGAACATTTCAGGAATTGTATCGAATTATAAAATAAAAAAGTAGACGAGATGAAAAAAACTTTTGACTTATGTTACTAATAGTAACAAGAGGAGGGCCAACAGATGAGAGGAATTGTCGGAGCCATAGTCGAAGTATATACACGAAAGATGCAAAAAAATTATTATCTAAACCTGACTTAAACAAAAAGTAGTAGTTAGCAAGACGTGCTACGAAATATCCATTAGCTCTAGACCAGTTGTTCCCAACCTTTCTTGAACTGTGGCCCTCCTCCGGAGGCGACTTTTAGCAGTCATGGCGCCCCGTTTATTATTCCATCGGTATTATAGTGTTATTTCGATTGTTGGGATTCAAATACCATTAGGGTCAAATAATTAATGCTCAACAAACTGGGAGTTTACTTGTAAAAGTAAAATCAGTTTTGCGCCAGTTTTTTTTTATCATTGTGGTCCCCCCTAACTGATCTGTGGTCCTCTTGGTAAGTCAGTCCTGGTTGAGAACTTCTGCTCTAGACTTTGAACGGGTTGAGTCAACGTGGCTAATAATAAAGATTTGTAGTTTCACATAAAAGGGACTAATAAAATACTTATGTTTACAAAAAGACCTTACTACACAAAAAGACTATTACTACAATAGGGCTTTTAAGAATAATCTAATGATGACACAGACCTCTTAACTAATGCGGTTGTCTTTTGTTCAATTCCATCTTCATATTTTAAAAATGGCAAAATTATTTGATAAAGGATGTTTGTTGTTATGATGCTTCTACCGTTATAGCTATTTTTTAAACAAATCCACTTACAAAATCAACTTTTGACGTTTTATATAGGTGTTTCAGGTTTCTAAACTGCAACAATATTCCAAACAAACCAACAATTATAATTGATCCAAGTACCGCCCTTGGAAGAGGTTCGAACACGGGTCCGAGTACCAGAATAGAAATTAATACAATTATAACAGATATTATCCCAACAACCTGAAATAAAAATCAGTTTTAATATTGCTAGTCCGTCGACAATAAACTGTTTCAAACAATAGATGCAGCACACTGATGAGTATTTCAATCGGCATCGACCCATGCATACTTACTTGAGTTTTTCCTCCCGTGTTATCTTGAATTTCACATCGAGCCAAGGCAGCAGCGTTAGGAAAACATAGAAAGAATGATGGAATGATATTTGATACTCCGTACGCGACCAGCTCCTATAAAGTATAAGAGATCTGATACTCCCGAAGTATGTGAACCAAGATGGCGGACATCGGAACGTAGTATGTGTACCACTAAGTACCAGGTTAGGGTTGGGCCATATTTTAAGGTACATATACTACAAGAGTCACTTGGCTAGTCCCCGAACTCGTATTAGAACTAAAAAAAAATAAAGAAAATTGGAATACAATTATGGCATAGCCTAACCTTGTTTACATACTACGTTCCGTTGTCCGCCATCTTGGTTCGCATACTTCAGGAGTACCAAAGATCATGCAAATGAATAAACTGTTTTGAAAATTAAAGAGAAAATAAAAATTATGAATATACCTGGTTAGGATCGACGGAATAACCATGTTTATTTCCATACATTTTTGCAAGAGAAACGCTTATTGCAAACCCAACAATGGCCAGTGCAAACCCATCGGCAATAATGTCGCCCAAAATACTCATGTTCGGTAAAACCGGAGCTGGTAGACTAGAAATAGGATTTTTTTAATAATTTCACACAGAATTTATAGAAAAAAAAACGTCGTCAACCAAGAAACAATCAATCCAACTGATTTAATTGAAATTACGTTGTTATCTACGTATCTTGTCAAGTCATCAATAGCCATAAAAAATGAGTTGTTAACTTATGCAAACGGACTACTGCTGATCGCAATTATGATTACTGGACATAGTATTATAAAAAAAAATGTTATACAACACCGCAGAAAAATTTCTATCAAATTGCCGACATCTATTGTTTTGAAATATAGTTCTTTAGTATACAAATCTAAATTTCGATTATCGTGTATCATCGTTTCAGAAATTATGTCAGCATATTGCGCAAATATAAATCAGTCTACCCGGTCGGAATGTTATCAACAATAACCACATCAAAATTCTCCCGAAATTGTCCAAAGTGAGATGCAAGTATAGTAATGATTACGAGTAGTACTTCAGTGGGTAATGGAACTTTCATTCTTTCTCTAAAAAGAATATATCACGAAGATGACATTTTTATTTTCCACGCGGGAATAAAAAAAAAAGAAAAAGATTAATATGAATACTTGGAAAGTTTCTCAACAATGTTGAAAAACGCAAGAATTGAGTTGTAGGTTACTTCCCAATAATATTAAAATTTAAACAGCCGGTTCGCTACAAGGCGTTGTATGCAAGAAAACAAATGCCTGTTATTACGTTTTGTAAAATACGTTTTGCAAATGTCCGATAGATAAGAGCCATTATCATAATCGTTGGTTGCATAAATTAAAATAAGGAATCAGATAAGATATTAATAATTTACAAATATGCTACCAAGGATGCTGTGAGTATAAAATGCATTCGGATGGAAATTCACGAAATAGTTAGGTATTTGTAGGCCATATATCGCATATAAAATATTTACCTGAATCTTAAATTTATTTCTCTTCCGATTATCAAGAAAATGAAGCACAAAATTGTAATTATCAATGTTGGGACGTGAACTCTGGGAAGTGATTTGAAAATTTCCACCCAAGACTGTTGAAAAAAAAGAATGTTATACATAATTATTCCACAAAGTATAGGCAGGTGGTTTCAGTTCTATCACCACCGTTTACATACCTCAAGTTCTGAGCCAATCGCGTGTATCTACGTATGGTTGCCTAATATAACGAAAACCGTATGAATGCCTAGAAGCGGTAAAATAATATTAATTGATGTCTAAAATCCGCTAATCCGTGACCTCACTTTTTATACCTCATGAAAGTATATCGGAATTCTGCAATATTTAATATATACTATTATAGGGTGTTACTCAAGCTTAAAGTTATTTTAGAAGTAGATAAAAAAAAAGCCACAATACTGTATATACTCTAAACAGTCTAAAGCCTTGTAACTAAATGTATCCCAATTTTGTTTGTCTGCATACCTGAATAAGCGAAAATGGTCCGTTGAAACGTCCTATTTGTATCCCCAAAATGGTAGGTGTTTGTGACGTTACAACTTGACATGCGGCACCGGTCGTAAATCCTTGAATTAGAGGTTCAGACAAGTACGATGTTATGAATCCCAGACGGAATATTCCAAAAATAATCTAAAAATATTTTTATAAATGATTATATACCAAATGTGACATCAAGGCTGAAATATGAGATCAAAAAATAAAACGTCTAAGTCAGTCGAATTCTAGATAGTCATGACATTAAAATCGAAATAACATCTTTGTTTCTTGTAGGAATCCCAGATTTCTATCAATGACATATACCAGGGATGGCGAACTCCTGACTCGCGACTACAAAGTGACTCATCATTTTACAAATTTTTCAAAAAAAAATTAGTGATAAATTCAGTTATAAAACAAGATAAACTGTTATATTATTGGTATTCAACTATTGTCAACAACTCTGTTACGGCGTTTATCTTTATTTAGCTTTTTAACGTTTTTTGATTCTTGAGAAAATTGCTTTCACAATTTCATAAAATCGAGTACCACAAATCTGAAAAGTTCATGTAACAATAACTCAACATGATCGATGTCATTTACTTCATGATGTGTTTGGCAATTTGTTCTATATGTTCATAGAAATCCCAGAATGCAGTTATATATAGATATGTTCGACATAGACTGATATTCGCATAAACAAAGATGTTTCATATTATTTTATCAGCCTGTATACGTGATCAATCTTTCAGCAGAAGTCTTCATACCAAAATTTCATACAATTATCAAATACAAAGCCTACCTGAAAAACGCCCATCACTAAAGTTACAGAAGCCGCAACACCTGCACGTTGTAAATCAAGTTCGCTAAACCTTTCAGCATTTGTATTGTTAAAATTAGGGACCATTGTCGAATTCTGAAAAAAACAAATATTTGAAAAATATATATATTCATTCGACAACTGTTTTAAAATATCAATGCTATTTATGTTAGTTAATTTATTGAAGCATTCTCGATAACCTCACCATTTCGAGCGATGTTCCATTTGATTGAGAAACAATTTCTGGTGGAAAATAACGGAAAACAACAGATCGAGTTAGCAAGCTTGTGACAGCAAATGTTCCCACCGAAATGTGGCGAGAAGTTCCCATAAGTGTATAAATAACCACAGGGTAGAAAGAAGTGTACAGACCGAACACCGGTGCGAGTCCAGCCAATATAGCGAATGCAAGACCTGAAATTAATATTGAGATATTAGAAAAAAGTTAAAAAATGGGGAAAGAAACCGATTTCTTTGTACTCTTGTGTTAAGGTGAGCTTAGTTTTTGCTAATATAAGTCGAACCGTCATTTTTGTTTCTGACTAAAACCACGTTGTCATGCGCATAGTAATGCATCGACCTAGTTACCAGTAACCCATCGATTACATATATATATACGGAGAGATAAAAGGAGGAACGAGACTGATTGAATAGAAAACATGAATGACACCAAGTTTTAATAATTCTATCAACTATATGCAAAGTATACTGGAATTCAATAGTATAATTGCAATAATAATACAATCTGTTACGCTTATGAAGTAGTATGCAATCAAGGTCCGCAAAACCTACTTCGAAGATGTAAAAATATTTGAGTCACAATCGAATTCAAAATTTTGCTCAAACATGAATATGAGATACATTAAATAATTTAAAACTGTCCATTCATTTCCGGATATCAATTTCCCCAAAACAAGTAGTGTCAATTGATTTTCACTGTTATGAGATAAGATCATTGCAGTTTGCCAGAGGCGTTCGCAATAAATTCTAACGTGAAGGAAATGTTGCTGCTCTTGTGCCTTATAGCAGACGTACAAAAGTCGTTAAACCTATTCACAGCCATTAAATAGGATGGACATCTTCGTTGCACACTTTGCGTGCAGAAAGCTGCGCGAACAAAGTTATTGTTGTTTTGATAAACTGAACTAGCAATTTTGTTTACAGTGACCGAAGACAGGAAAGAAGTGAATTTGGTGACACTTTGAAGCCAAATTTTAAAAAATAATCATAAAATGATTTTTATATTTACTTTGTGGTATGTGGACCACTCCGACTGTCAATCCTGATACCAAATCTCCCGGTAACCATTTTTCCTGGTAGTGGAGTAGCCATGTGAAGATAGGAAAAAGGCCTTTGAAGAATCCAAGTACACATCCTTTGGAGCAGGAGCAACTTTTCTGCGCTGAACGTTTGATTTTGGTCAAAACAGAGTTGGTTTCTTTATTCTCCACTCCTATTCTCTTTTGAAGGTCATTTTCCGTTTGGGCTAATCGGTCGATTCTATATCGGATATTTTCCTCCGTCATATTCATTAATTTTATGAACAAATGATGCAAGTGATCCTCCTTCAGGTAATTTTATTTTAGAAAAGTTTGATATTCGAAGTGTTTATTTTCTTAGCAACGACAAATTGAAGAATCAAGATAGTTTCAGCTTCCCAAACTATACTATTGATTGCAAATTTGCCGCTGTAAGCCACACAATGGATAACGTGTTCTGGGCCATGTTTCGCATATATACTGCTTATAAAGACGGTGGTAAACACTCAAAATGGATAAAAAAAAGGGAAACTTGCACAGTCATTGGGTCGAGAGTAAAAGAAGTCGGATGTTTCCTTTCAAACGACTCTCGGATATGAGCGATAACAAAGGCCAAGGGCCGTGCCAAAATTAAGGGTCAACATTTGTAAAACTCAAATAATTGTATCGTGTTTCTTTGTGTCAATCTTTTATCCGACGACAGGCACGATTGTTAGGCTCAAATTTTATTCCGTATAGCAACAGGTACCTCAACATAGCGCTCTGATTAGTGTGATCAATGAAATACTGTTTAGTTATATCTTGCAGATTGGTTATTCATTGAAGCAAATGATTTTTCCACAATTTCATTTGAACGATAGTTACATGAAATCGACGCGATTTACTAACTCAGTGACAATCTTATCTATATTACCGAAACAAATTGGTAGTCGTTGATTGACTTTTAAAAACCTGAGATTTTTTCTACTTACGTGTTGAATAGAAAGACAAAAACTTCTTCGATCGTGTATTTTAAATGAGATATATTTTACGTGTGCGCAGAACGTAACGTTAACACACCAACGCATTGTTAACTCGTGACATGACTATATCTTGATATTTATATATACCATATTACTAACAAAACGTGGGTATTTTTGTAACTTAAATGTAAGCATTCATATATTCAGAGTCCTAACAAGTCTATTAACCATTTTAATCGACGTCTGAATCAAGTAGATTATGGTATTTTCGACATCTTGTGGTTAATATAAACTCATGAGTCGAGTTTAATTTTACAAGCGTGGCGAAAATTCGAATTCCAGTCCCCACAAAAGTCGGCAAATATAGAATATATTGACTTCATTTCTCTATAATCAAACACGAACCGGTGATTTTTGATCGATATTGTTCTTTTATCCATATGAATCACCACCAGAAGGTTAAAATAAAAAACCGATAAGCTTTAAAATATATCATGCCACAATAGCAAATATGGACTATATTGTAGTAAAAAAAATTACTATGTAATTGAGTTGGCAGCACATTCAATAAAATAGCAATTTGCGATTAAAACATGAATAACATGAATCCCTATTTGATAAGCTTAATTGTGATTTTCCCAATTATAATTCGTATAATATAATTTGTATAACTGTTGGTACAATTTTTGGCGTTCCATAAGTGTGTGTACCAATATGGAGGTAACTAAATTTGTTCGCCTACTTTATATCAAGTTGTGTAAAGGGACGGAAGCCTATGATCAGGGGGTATATTCACTTGGCTAACACAAACAGTCCTTGAACTCGTAATAGAACTAAAATAAGGAAAATTGGAATAAAATTATGGCCTAACCCTAACCTGGTACACACACTACGGGTGTAGCCAATTTTCATTAGATAATGAAGTTTTCGTTTTAACTCAAATATAACCCCATATGTTTTGATAAATTAAGTATTTTAAAAGTGATTATTGTGAAAAGCTCTATATATTAAGATTGCAACAAGAGCACTTTTCGGCGATTAGATTATGATGTTTTCGTTTAAACTCAAATATAACCCCATATGTTTTGAATCATTAAGTATTTATAAAGTTAAACACGAACATTAATGTAAAAAGCTCTATTTGTGAAGATTGCAGCAGGAGCACTTTTCGGCAATGATGTTTTTAGACTTTTATCCAGTAATATTCAACGTGTTTTCTCAGAGCTGTTACAAAAAATATTGCCATGCACCGTCACATATTTTATTAATTTAAAAGCAAATAAGTTAAATACAGTATCCACATATATCCAAACTACCAAAAGAAACTCTATGAGTAATTATAGACATTAGTTAGTATAAACAACGTGCCCAAAGGAATTCTATATTACATTCGTTAACAAGAATGGTGCGTATTTTTAACATAACAACATCTCTTAGGCAGCGATTTGTTTGAACGGTGGAAAAGATTTTAAAGCGGTATTTCTTTTGTTTATATTCAAAAGTCTTTGAGAAATGAGCTGTATTCAAAATATATGTATCAGTTTTGAGGAGATTTTTACCCTTCCTCTTCGTAGCAACGTATAAATTATTTTCTTTTGTGCGGATGTATAAAATACATGTCAAAATGATAGCATCATTAAAACCACTGAAAGTCTAGAACAACCCATATTCTAATGTTAAATCTACGATATCGGCGTTGTTGATCTTTCAAATATCCCAAAACCTATCTACATAACGGCAGAACACGAAAGTACATGAAAGTTTACAGATATTTTTAAAAGTACACTCTTCCATACTCCATTTGGTACCTCCAAAATAAACTACTTCTCGATAGAAGGTATTGTGATTCGATTTACTTAGCTATTGACGTCACGTGACATACTTTATATTGACTCGACTCTTCAAGTCCTTGTAGTTTGTGATGAGTAAAGCTTCCATTAGTCACTTGTAAAATTACGGAATCTTCTTAAAAAGCACGACTACTTACTTGTTCGGTATAGCTACCTAATTTTTTTTCACAAATCAAATAATTATTAAATAAAAGTTTCTTTCAACTTTCCCTCAAAAATTGTTCTTCCCTAATGGATCAAGACTGTAGAAAATAAAAACGAGAGTCTTGTTTTAAGTGCCCTATTATTTATAGGCTGTATTCAAGCATCAGAAAATTCTCTATTTTTAAAATCTTCTGACTTATCGCTATATAACCTAACAGAACACAGGCGTGAAAAAGAGAATTATTTTAAAGAATCCAAACTATATCGGAAATTAAAATTGGAAATTATGCGTGATTGCATCCATCAAAATTACTCATTCAATAAAATGTTTGGAAATGTTTGTCTTAAATTTTATTTCTATTATATCCCATAATAGACTTACACTAAATACGTAAATGCACTTTTAATGTGAATTATAAAATTTCAAATGACGTTTAAACATTAAATATAATACTTCATTCAGCATGGAACATAAAATAAAAGTCCACTTAGCACCCACATGCAAAATTAAAATACGCTCCTCTTTTCAGTTTGAATAAGTAAAATGAACTTTCCAGTTGAATGCTAATATACTAACGAACACTACAACCTATAAACTTGTTTATTGTGTCTTCGAGTTGCACTTCGATAAAGATGATTCTTATCAATTATTCAAGCACTTGTATTTTGTTGAATGACACAAAATCTTAATTCACAATTATTTATCAATGTCCAAATAGCACTGTTTTTAACGATTTAACGCTATCACTGTTTGCAGTGTTTCCTTGCCTTCACTCTTATTTGAAAACCTCAAATTACCTAAACTAAACACAAAAAAAGTCCTATTTAACAAAAACTGAAATTGACTCAATTCGACCCGATGTCTTTTTCTTTTTAAGAGCGACTTGAAGATCATTAACTTCGCCGAACCCAGTTTGAACACAAAGCTGGATGAATTTGTATTTGTATACTGCCATACAAATGTTTTGTAAATGTATGTCTTAAATTTTATTTCTATTATATCCCAAAATGGGCTTACACTAAATACGTAAATGCACTTTTAATGTGAATTGTAAAATTTCAAATGACGTTTGGACACTTCATTCAGCATGGAACATGAAATAGAATTTCACTTAGCACCCACATGCAAAATTAAAATACGCTTCTCTTTTCAGTTTGAATGGGTAAAATGAACTTTTCAGCTGAATGCTAATGAACACTACAACCTATAAAACTTGTTTATTGTGTCCTCGGCCTGCACTTCGATAAGGATAAGGATGAAATTGTATTTTGCTGAATGACACAAGATCTTCATTCAGAATTATTTATCAATGTCATAATAGCACTGTTTTTAACGATTGATTGAAATGCATCACGAACTACAGGATTCAATTAATAAAAATATTTTATGACGATATGTGCTGCAGAAAACTACAAAATAACGATTGTCCAATTTTTAGTCCTTACATTTGTTTTATTCTTGTTTTGCCTGTGTTCGTAAATTCAAACCCTCTATATACGTATAGGAAAACGAGAAGTGTTTTCTTATACCTTTTATCATTTTATTAAAAAATAGTTCTTATTATACTTCCTATTTCTGTTATATCATAAGTATACCTGTATAGATCCGTTACCCCGTCCTTGGATCAATGTGTTAAATACGTGACAATAACATTTGACCTACATAGCAAAGAATTTATTGGTAAAATAACACATTTAATTTAGTGTAAAATTGCATCAATCAATAAATCATCAATCATATTATGCATAATATTATGTAGTCGTAATCCTAGCCAATTTCTTATAAGCGGATATATTCAAGTACGTATATAGTTAAAATTAAAACATCGTGAAAAATCAAACGTGACAAACGCCGTGTAGAAAGGAAATGACAATGCAGAACCTTGCGTTGTTCAAGGACATCGAGTCTGCTGGTATATTTATGCTGGCATCTCAAATAAAAATTCTAGGGTTCAAAACCTGGTCATTCTAGTCACTAGTGGTTGACCTTGTAACATAAAATAAATGGTTCCGTGTCAAGTAACAAAACACCTCTGCACGCATAAGACGCCAGTGCTAAGGCTTGTTATAGATCAGGGTGGTCAAAACCCTGGTACGTGGGTCTAGCGCCCGCAGAACAATTTTGTATTAGTATTTATTGGCAGAACATTTTTGAGTTTTTTAAGCTAATCCAACTGGGATTGGGATACCTAGATTTAAACCCTTTTCTAATCCCGATGTCGGGAATGACATTTCTAAAAATCGTGGAATATAACATCAAGGCGGTGCCGGGAATGCCGTCCAGTGATCGGTACGATCACGTATCGAAAGGCCGATACCGATACTTGTCAAGGCGGTCGTACGAGCGCATTGTTTTCAGAACAGAATCAAACGACGATAAGTGACAGGATTGCGCGGAGAAAGGAAATGGGGGGTCAAGGAGAATAAATTGTCGTGTGTAGACAGGGCCTGGCCGATGCGATGAGTCTCGCTTTTCATTTCAACTTCG